CTTTTCATTCTTCTTTTCATTCTTCTTCTTTCATCATTCTTCTTCTTTTTTCTTTTTTCTTCTTCTTCTTCTTCTTCTTCTTTTTCTCTTCTTCTTCTTCTTCTTCTTTTCTTCTTCAAATTCTTCTTTTTTCATTCTTCTTCTTCTTTTCTTTCTCATTTTCATTTTCTTCTTCTTTTCTTCTTCTTCTTCTTCCCCTTTCTTCTCAATTCTTCTTTTTTTCTTTTCTCTTTTTCTTCTTCTAATTCTTCTTCTTCTTCTTTTCTTCTTCTTTTTAATTTTTTTCTTCTTCTTCGAATCTTCTTCATTTTTTTTTTTCTTCTTTTTCATTCTTCTTTTTTTTTCTTCTTCTTCTTTTCTTTTCATTCTTCTTTTCATTCTTCTTCTTCTTCTTTTCATTCTTCTTTTCTTCTTCTTCTTTTTTTTTCTTCATTCTTCTTTTTTTCTTCTTCTTTTCATTCTTCTTCTTCTTCTTTTCATTCTTCTTCTTCTTCTTTTTTTCTTCTTTTCATTCTTCTTCTTCTTCTTCTTTTTATTCTTCTTCTTTTTCTTTTCATTCTTTCTTCTTCTTCTTCTTCTTTTCTTTTTTCTTCTTCTTTTCTTCTTCTTCTTCTTTCTTTTCTTTTCTTCTTCTTTTTTCTTCTTCTTCTTTTCATTTTTCTTCTTCATTCTTCTTTTCTTCTTCTTTTTCTTCTTCTTTTTTTCTTCTTCTTTTTTTCATTCTTTCTTTTTCATTCTTCTTTTCTTCTTCTTCTTCTTCTTTTCTTCTTCTTTTCATTTTCTTCTTCTTCTTCTTCTTCTTCTTCTTCTTCTTTTCTTCTTTTCTTTTCTTTTCATTCTTCTTTTCTTCTTTTTCATTCTTCTTCTTTTCATTCTTCTTTTCATTATTCTTCTTCTTTCATTCTTCTTCTTCTTCTTTTCATTCTCATTCTTCTTTTTCTTTTCATTCTTCTTCTTCTTCTTCTTCTTCTTTTCATTTCTTCTTCTTCTTTTCATTCTTCTTCTTCTTCTTCTTTTCATTCTTCTTTTCTTCTTCTTCCTCCTCCTCCTCCTCTTCTTCCTCTTCCTCCTCCTCTTCCTCCTCCCCGTGACTGCCCAAATGAGTGAAGTGTGCGGTGATTCTAAGATCGACGGCACTCATCTGCATGTCATACTGACTGACAGTATTATTTCTTCCCCAGCAGACTCCAAGGGCATTTAAATTAAAGGTACAGTGTTCTGCACTAATATAAAGGCTCTCTGAAGCCTAGAAACCCTTTTAATAAGTTAAATTCGCAGCGAATAAATTCGCATCGAATCGAATTTCTCTCCCGCAAATTCGGCGAATCAGCTGAATCGAATTTTTGAATAATTCGCTCATCTCTAATGATGACATTAAGTGTAGGCTTACTGAAAAATGTTTAGGTTTCATATAAATATATAAGGAGGTACCAGGGCCGAATGACAACTCAAAGGCTCATGGTGCAGCAATTCAACCCCCTTTCCACTCTCCCTCTTCCCTGCCTCCTCCCAACCCCTATCCCAGGCTGAAGCTCCACTCCAGGTGTTTTCTGCTCACTGGGTGGGTCAGACTGGACAGCACCTGCTGCAACAACCCTGGGTTCCTGAACTGGCCAGTAGGGGGCAGCCATGGTCTGCAGTGGGGACGCTACTCTTCTTCTCCAGGAAACCTTTAGGCAGGAGAAGGAGGAGCAGAACCAGGGGCGGACTGACCATTTGGGAACTCGGGCACCACCGTCAGTAGGGGGCCCCATGAGATGTCCTGGTACCTTTCATAGGCTTTTTTGGGTGTGATTTGAGTGTGGGTGAGGACACAGGGGCCCCATGATCCCCTATTGCCCGGGGCCCCGAGTTGTCAGTCCACCCCAGAGCAGAACCAGTTCTCTCTGTCCTCTCCTGTCCCTGCACGGGGTGGAGTTGGGAGATTGTTAGTGCTGGCTCTTGGCTGTGAGAGAGAGACTATCTCAGCTTAGAGCCCTGCAGCCACTGGGAAGCCACAATCCGGCCTCTTGACCCCCCCCTCCCACAGTGGCATCAGAGGGGCCCAGGGGACAATTGCCACCCTGCCCTCCCCCCACCGGCCCAGTCTACCCCTGGGAGGTACTACAGAAAATTAATAAGCTAATGTGCTGACTAGACCCCCAACCATGATTTAACAGGGCACATACGGGGGCCAACAGAGTGGTAGGGAACACTGTATAATGTGGATTCAGCTCCTCTCAGATTAGGTCTTGAGATCAGGGCCGTGAATAAGGGAGTACCACCAGTTCTCCTGTACTGGACCCAAGCTAGCAGGGGGTCCAGGCAGCTGGGTGAATTGGATGTGGGCAGAGAGGATGATCGGCACAGCGGGGGGGGGGGGCAATTACTGGAACAAATCCCCTATATGGCTGAAAGCCTGCTTCTTCTCCTCAACCTCCTGCTGGCTTTCAGCTGCTGCAGAGAGAGCCATACAGGGGATGAGTTCCAGTAATCGTCCCCCTGTCGCACCCATCACCCGTCCTGTGCACCATACGTTTCCCCTTGCTGCCTGGGCCCCCCTGTGTACCGCCTCAGTGCTGCCGGCTTTCCTCTTCCCCTTCTCACTGGGTAGCTGCAAGCACACAATAAGATCCTTAAGGATGGAGAGTGGGGAAGGTCCATCAATATGTCACATTTATCAGCCCCTTCCTTTCCTGCATGAATACAATGAGTGATCAATACTGACTGTCAATACTGTCAGGTTGGCTGTATTGGCCCCATGGTTCCTAACAGCAGCCCTGCCTGAGATCCTAATGTACATATATAAAACAAACACAAGAGGAGTGCTTCATGTAGGTGTAGAGATTTATTGAAAAGAGTAAAAGATAATAAAAATGCACTCACTAATTAAAAGTGGATCAAGGCTAGTACTTCAGAAAGTTCCTGTAAGGCTAAATTCATACAGATGTTGAATTTTTAAGCAGCCAGTAACACGCAGTAATGTGCCAACAGCCTTATTGAGCATTTCAGACTCATTGCCCAAGTCTTCAAGTTGCTCCTTAAATTCCCTGTGAGATTTTATTTTTTACAGTGCGTAAAGGGCTTGTTTACACTTGCAGTGCCCTCTGAAGAGCAATCTGTTTGACAGGTGGTGAAGACACACATTGGGGACAATTCACTAAAGGTTATCGCATGCGTTATGTCAGTCACGTAACCACATATCGCATACGATACAGAAAATGTCAGTTCACTATTGCTAGTATGCAGTATTTACTGTACATAGCAAATACATTTGGTAAATACCGCATAAAAGCTGTCATGAACTTAACACATTCATGACAGTTCAAAGAAGCTTTACATTGCATTGCATGATCAATGAAGATCATTGCTCTGCAAAGTGTAAAAAAAAAAAATCCCTGATTCCCCCCCCCCCCCCCCCCCCCCAGAGTAGTACAATGTTACTATGGTAAAATTACAGAACTCTGAAGAAAGTATTTAACAAAAAACAGTAAGAAAAATAATGTTTTAAAAAAATTGAGAGAAATGTTTTATGATTTTTTTTTTAAGTTCTTGCCCACCCACCCACAATGTGCAGGCAAGCTGCGGCTCTGGGCAAACCAATGTAATATTACGTCACTTTCTATTTCCAGGTGTGCGTGTGCCCCCCGATGGCCCGTATGCTGTCCAGGGAGAGAAAATCGAACACGGCACTGAGTAGAAGCACTACATTTTACATACACGTTATATTAGCATATTTAACTCTTTGATCACCCCTATTAACCCTTTGATCACCCATCACCCAGCCAGTGCCATTAGTACAGTGTCAGTATATAGAATTTTTCACTGATCACTGTATTGCTGCTACTAGCAACATCAGATAGCGTCAAGGTCAGTTAGCTCCCCTCCCAGCCAGGGTCAGCTAGCTTAGATTGCCCGCATACTATTGCACTTACACTATAGGTCGCTGATCATGAACTATACTAGTGCCTCCTTTGTATAGTGTCCCCAAAAATGCATTGTTAGCAGGATCAGCCCCGTTGCGCTTAGCCCCTCCGCTGTTTTTTCACAGAAGATTTGTATGAATTGATTGCGGACCAAAGTAATTTATACGCACAACAATACATAGCACTAGACCTATGTAAATCTAAAGTGGTGACCTGTAAAGGCCTTTAAAGTGTGGTCTATAGATATTACAGATTTACGCAATTTGTCGCAATTGCACAGGCATGCACAATTTTGAAGCATGTCATGTTTGGTATCCATTTACTTGGTGTGACATCATGCCAAACTCATTCAGTATTTCAGTAACATTTTTTAGTGAATGCCAACGTTTCTGTTTTTTTGTAAATGTTGTGCGGTATCTTACCACATACTTGGATGCGGTAAGATACCGCTTAGTGAATTGTCCCCTATATTGCCTCTTCCCTGCCTGTTTTAGCCTCTAAATACCCCACACCACCACACCGCAACCACATGTATTGGGCGCAGTCGTGGGGCGAACTCATTCAGGTGACTGGATCACATTTGGTAGGTGGTACTGCCTGCCAAGCACACATTTGTACAAGTACACAGCATGTGTACACTCATGTCCACTACCTTTACAGCTTAAGAACCAACTATTGAGGAAGTCTATTCCACTTTTTCACAGCTGTTAATGTGAAGAAACCTTTCAATCTCTGTTCCTTCAGACATACAGAGTGCCCCTTGTCCTTTTGTGATCACCTCAGGGTGAATAACTCCGAGTTCACTATATGAACCACTGATGTATTTATACATGTTGATCATATCCCCCCCTTAATATCATTCAATAGAAGTGAACAGAGGTGGTTGGAAAGCATCAGTGCTTGCTTAACTTTGCAGGCAACATTTTTTTTTTGCCTTGTGAAGCAACACTAATGCTGCCGTGTGTACACCGCTCTCTGTTTTAACAATCTTGAGTGATGTTAATAGGCAGTCAGGAAACTGTAAAAAACATCGCCCAACTGCCATTTTCATCACTGTGTGAATGATGCCTAATGCATTGTGCTCTTTTTCTGTAGACCCGGTCCAGAAAAGAGTACTTCAAGTAAAGGACATAACCTCAACTAGTTTTCTGATAACATGGTCAAGACTGCCTGGGGATTCAGGAAGTTATACTGTACATTATGCACCGACATCAGATCCAAGGCAAATGCTTCGGAAGACTGTGACAGGAGATGAGGACAGAGTTCTGATTGATGGCCTAACCCCAGATAACACCTACAGAGTCACCCTTATCCCAGAATCCAATGCTCCAGACACCCAGGTTGTAACAATCCAGGTCTCCACTCTCCCAGGTAAGCTGGATACAAGTATATCTCTAGTCAAAACTTTCTTTTTTTCTTAGTTTAATATACTATAGAGAAGGGTTAAAAAACCACTGTCTGATTTTATTGATGTCTGGTGACTGTTGTCACCAAGACAGTAAGTGATGGGAAAATCAATAAATTTTCAGTTGTCACTAGAACAAGACGGGAGGGTAAATCTTCAATGGGGACACCTGTTCCAGTGTCATCTGATTGAGACGGGAATCCCCCTCACTTTGTAGAGATTTCCTCTCACTTCCTGTTGGGTCTTTCTGACATAGAGTGAAGAGAAATCAGACACACAGACAGCTATAAATATCCAGGTAAGGGTTTTATTCCTAAATACTCTATAAAAAAGCTGAAAACATTTAGGCTATAAATACACTTTAAGACCTATTCATTTTTTATGGAAACTATCTGTTTTTAAAGTTACACCTATTTATAAATCTACTTGGTGTGATCTCTGCTCATTTTTACAATATTTTGAAAATGATGAATGTAATCCAAGAAAATACATTTTGTGGATAGATTACACCCAATACAGAAATTATTTCCATCCACACATACAGGCTCTCACTATATGGTTTTGAATCAGTGACCTCTGGTCTGCTTTAGGCTCCTCATTGTTACATTGACAGCCATCTGTATCCAAAGAAAAGAATGACTACAATTATTATATATAGGTGAAACTCGAAAAATTAGAAAATCATGCAAAAGTTCATTTATTTCAGTAATGCAACTTAAAAGGTGAAACTAATATATGAGATAGACTCACTACATGCAAAGCAAGATAGTTCAAGCCGTGATTTGTCATAATTGTGATGATTATGGCTTACAGCTCATGAAAACCCCAAATCTACAATCTCAGAAAATTAGAATATTACATGCAATCAATAAAACAAGGATTGTACATAGAACAATATCGCACCTCTGAAAAGTATAAGCATGCATATGTACTCAGTACTTGGTTTGGGCCCCTTTTCAGCAATTACTGCCTCAATGCAGCATGGCATGGAAGCTATCAGCCTGTGGCACTGCTGAGGTGTTATGGAAGACAAGGATGCTTCAATAGCGGCCTTCAGCTCTTCTGCATTGTTCGGTCTCATGTCTCTCATCTTTCTCTTGGCAATGCCCCATAGATTCTCCATGTGGTTCAGGTCAGGCGAGTTTGCTGGCCAATCAAGCACAGTAATCCCACGGTCATTGAACCAGGTTTTGGTGCTTTTGGCAGTGTGGGCAGGTGCCAAGTCCTGCTGGAAAATGAAGTCAGCATCCCCATAAAGCTCGTCTGCGGAAGGAAGCATGAAGTGCTCCAAAATCTCCTGGTAGATGGCTGCGTTGACCCTGGACTTCAAGCATCTTGCAGTGTGTGCCTCTCCATTCTTCCTCCATACTCTGGGTCCTTGGTTTCCAAATGAGATGCAAAAGTTGCTCTCATCAGAAAAGAGGAATTTGGACCACTGAGCAACAGACCAGGTCTGTTTTTCTTTAGCCCAGGTAAGACGCTTCTGACGTTGTTTTTTGTCCAGGAGCGGCTTGACAAGAGGAATACGACATTTGAAGCCCATGTCCAGGATCCGTCTGTGTGTGGTGCCTCTTGATGCACTGACTCCAGCCTCAGTCCACTCCTTGTGAAAGTCCCCAACACTTTTAAATGGCCTTTTCCTGACAATCCTCTCCAGGCTGCGGTCATTCCTGCTGCTTGTGCACCTTTTTCTTCCACACTTTTCCCTTCCACATAACTTTCTATTAATGTGCTTTGATACAGCACTTTAGGAACATCCAACTTCTTTTGCAATTACCTTTTGAGGCTTTCCCTCCTTATGGAGGGTGTCAATGATGGTTTTCTGCACAACTGTCAGGTCAGCAGTCTTTCCCATGATTGTGATTCCTATTGAACCACAATATTCTAATTTTCTGAGATTGTGGATTTGGGGTTTTCATGAGCTGTAAGCCATAATCATCACAATTATGACAAATCACGACTTGAACTATCTTGCTTTGCATGTAATGAGTCTATCTCATATATTAGTTTCACCTTTTAAGTTGCATTACTGAAATAAATGAAATTTTGCATGATATTCTAATTTTTTTAGTTTCACCTGTATATTGAATAATCTTAGTGGAAGTAATTGCAGGTATACACCTAGTTCCGATAACCAATCAAGATCCTTTCAGATGATCATTTGTTTGCAGGGGTGGACTGACCATTTGGAAACTCAGGCACTGCCCGAGGGCCCGGGGTCAGTAGGGGGCCCCATGAGATGCCCCTGGTACCTTTTACATAGGCTTTTTCAAGTTTGGGCAAGGAAACAAGGGCCCCATGGTCCCCTATTGCCTGGGGGCCCCATGAGTTTTCAGTCCGCCCCTGTTTGTTTGTTAAATTTCACTGCACCAAAACGTTACTTTTACTTTTTGAAATTCTTTCAACTTCCTATTTTTGTCTGCATCCCCTTTTTGGAGATGTTCTCTCGCTTCCTGTCTTTCAGACTTCTTACTTTCTGGGCATTTGCTTTTGGGCACATACTACATTTTAAATGTTCATACCTCTAGGTCAGGGTTTCTCAACCAGGGTTCCATGGAACCCTAAGGTTCCTCCAGAAGTTGCTAGGGGTTCCTTGAGCAATATCCGCCTCTCAGATTCCTGCTGACACCATTGATATTTTTAGCTATCTGTAAGGGGGTAATTCTTCTCAATGGCCACAAGTGTAAGGAACATTCTTCCCAATGCCTATCACATGAATGTATCATGAGCTGTAGATACAGTAATTTTTAGCAGGGGTTCCCCGAGACAAAAAAGTAATTTCAAGGGTTCCTTTGTGTTGAAAAGGTTAAGAAAGGCATTTCATCTAGGTGCATCATCCAGCCCCATCAGCTGTCAGCCTCTCATAGTTTGACAAGCTGCCAGCAGTGGGGCTGGATGGCACACTTTGCTCGCAGGTTAATGCCACAGCCCCATGCATAGGGGTTAAATGCCCAATGTGCAAGTGGCCTTAAAAAAACGTTTTGGTTGGAGTTATGATTTACTATATGACAGTCTAAAAGCTCCAAAAACAACTGTGACTTATTCAGTAATAAAGTTAACATTTTATACTACCCTTCCAACTTTTTTTAAATGGCAAAATATGTTGAACAAATAGAATCAATATTAAGTGCAGCCGAAAGATGCTGAAGGCCACATGGGAAGCCATATATTTTGTTACTCACCAAGTAGTAAAGCCTGACAGCCAGGTAGTAACTTCAGAAGACGGCTGGAAATAGCAGCACAAGTCCTGTATATCTTTGGTAACAGGTTCCCTTTACCCAACATTTTCCCTAAAAATGTATGTAATTACAGACTAAGAAGCTTTGCTCTCTCTGCACACTTTATTTTTTATTTTGTGGCCTAAGATCAGCCAACTGACTTTTAAAGTGGTTCTAAAGTCTAAAGGTTGTTTACCTTAACGTATTCTGTGTACTAAGGTGAAAAACCTTCAGTGTCACAGAATCTCCTCCTCACCCCTGACTTACCTGAGCCCAAATTCAATCTAGAGCTGTGCATGAGAGCAGCAGCTCTCTCGGCTTGTTCATACCTCACTAAGCGGTAGCTATTGGCTCCCACTGTTGTCAAGCAAATTCTGTGGCAAGGGAGGAGAGGGCGGGGCTGAGCTGCACTGTCTGTGTCTATAGATGCAGAAAGGGAGGCTCGGGAGGGAGCCCGCACGAGTACCCCCATAGAAATCGCCTTTTTATGGGGGCACTAAGCTTGGGAGGAGCCAGGAGCGCTGTCGGGGGACCCCAGAAGAAAAGAACAGAAAACCATTGCACAGAGCAGGTAAGTATGACATGTTTGTTATTTTAATTTAAAAAAATTGAAGCTTTACAATCAGTTTAAGCTCAATAAATTGAACTCCCTACCTTTCAGCTGCAATAAATACACTGCTCAAAAAAATTAAAGGAACACTTTTTAATCAGAGTATAGCATCAAGTCAATTAAACTCCTGGGATATTGATCTGGTCAGTTAAGTAGCAGAGGGGGTTGTTAATTAGTTTCAGCTGCTTTGGTGTTAATGAAATTAACAACAGGTGCACTAGATGGACAACAATGAGACGAACCCCAAAACAGGAATGGTTTTACAGGTGGAGGCCACTGACATTTTTTTTTCTACTCATCTTTTCTGACAGTTTTTCACTAGTTTTGCATTTGACTGCACCCTACAGAGGTTGCACAGACAGTCCAACTCCTCCAGGATGGCACATCAATACGTGCCATTGCCAGAAGGTTTGCTGTGTCTCCCAGCACAGTCTTAAGGGAATGGAGGAGATTGCTGGAGACAGGCAGTTAGTCTAGGAGAGCTGGACAGGACCGTAGAAGGTCCTTAACCCATCAGTAGGACCGGTATCTGCTCCTTTGTGCAAGGAGGAACAGGATGAGCACTGCCAGAGCCCTACAAAATGACCTCCATCAGGCCACTAGTGTGAATGTCTCTGACCAAACAATCAGAAACAGACTTCATGAGGGTGGCCAGAGGGCCCAACATCCTCTATTGGGCTCTGTGCTCACTGCCCAGCATCATAGAGCTCGATTGGCATTTGCCATTGAACGTCAGAGTTGGCAGGTCCGCCACTGGCTCCCTGTGCTTTTCACAGATGAGAGCAGGTTCACCCTGAGCACATGTGACAGATGTGAAAGGGTCTGGAGAAGCCATGGAAAATGTTATGCTGCCTGTAATCTCATTCAGCATGACCGTTTTGGTGGTGGGTCAGTGATGGTCTGGGTAGGCGTATCCATGGAAGGACGCACAGACCTTTACAGGCTAGACAGTGGCACCCTGACTGCCATTGGGTATCGGGATAAAATCCTTGGACCCATTGTCAGACCCTACGCTGGTGCAGTGGATCCTGGGTTCCTCCTGGTGCACGACAATGCCTGGCCTCATGTGAGGAGTGTATGCAGGCAGTTCCTAGAGGATGAAGAAATTGATACCATTGAATGGCCCCCATGCTCGCCTGACCTAAATCCAATGGAACTCCTCTGGGATATCATGTTTTTGTCCATCCAAAGGCGCCAGGTTGCACCTTCAAATGTCCAGGAGCTCAGTGATGCCCTGGTCCAGATCTGGGAGGAAATACCCCAGGACACCATCCATCGTCTCATTAGGAGCATGACCCAACGTTGTCAAACTACTGAGTACCATTTTTTGAGTTGCTGCAATGAAATTTCAGCAAAATGGACTAGCCTGCTGCATCATTTTTTCACTTTGATTTTTGGGGTATCTTTGAATTCAGTCCTCTGTAGGTTGATTTTCATTGCCATTAAACAATGGGGAATTCTTACGTTCCTAACACATTACCAGTCTATATCATTATAGATATCCAGCATGATATTTTTCCCCATTGAGATCTAATGTGTTTACAAAGTGTTCCTTTCATTTTTTGAGCACTGTATATTCCTCAGTAGTCGCAAAGGATATAAATCTACTTTGTGCGCACTAAATGCCTTTACAAACACAAATATTACCTGTCACTGTGCTGTACATAGTCTGTGCAGAGAGCAGAACTATGGGAGGGGCCCAGCATGCTCCACCCACTACAGGCTACCTGCAGAAAACTACATTAAGAGGCGAAGACAGGACCAGTCACCCTGCACAAGGAGAGCGCGCCGCAGTGATTGGTCTTTATTAAGGGACGCTCCTGCACAGGGAAAAGTCTCACACTGGATTACTGCACAGATCAGGAAGAAATACACAAAAAACACCAAAATTCAAGTAAAAATATACGATGAATGTATTTAGACAATATTTACTTATCCCAGAGTTTAGCTTTAAATACCTATATTAGTTGCAGAACTACCAGCCTACAGGCCATTTTTTCTGGCAGGTTAAGGTTAGCACAGTGACTTGCATGGCTTTGTCCCGGGTACTCCGTTTTTCTTCCCACACGCCAAAGACAGGCTGGCAGGTGAATTGGCTCCTGTCTAAATTGACTCTAGTATTTGTATGTTTGAATATGAGATAGGAACCTTAGAATGTAAGCTCCTGGAGCGCAGGGACTGACGTGAATTTACATTATGTAAAGCACTGCATAAATTGTCAGTGCTATATACTGTACCTGTAATAATAGCTGCTTGGCAGGTAAGCTTGAGACCCTTTCACTGCTCAGGACTATGTTGACTTTTAAGTAATAGTCAGCAGCTACAAATACTGGTAATAATCAGGCACATACCAATACTTGGAGTCCAGCTGGCTCTACTGTACATGCGCAAGATTGTGCAAACTCTTTTTAACTGATCCTGCAGCCTTCTGGATGTGTAATGAGTCAAAGGACACTGTGGGCAGGGAGTAGGGCAGGGCAAACAACGTCATCCTTGCTTAGGCGAGGGTTGCGGAAGTAGGAGCAGGTACTGCCAAAAATCATTACTGGCCCCCCCAAAGAAAACCTGCAACTCAGTAACAGGCTGGGGGGGAGGGAGCAAATAATCAGTACTTCACTCTTTGACTGAAGTTCCACTTTAAGCTGGTCGTACACTGACTGAAATTTGGCCAATCCAACAGGGAATGGCCAAATTTCAATCACTGTGTGGCCGTCTCTGCTCTACAAAAGTTGATCTTTTAATTAACTTCTGTTGAAGGGACATGTTGGAAATTTTTATTGATCAGTAGCTAGAGTGAATCAGTGGCTAATCAGTGTATTTTGACTATGGTGGGTGCATTTGTGTGGATAGAGGAATCTTACTTTTGTTTTGTTCAGCCCTCTGTCTGAACAAAAAAGTTACGTTTATGGCCACCTTTAGTCCAATTACAGCAGAGTTTCTTTGGATATCTCCAATCTTTAATTTTTCTTTCTAGACCTGATCTTAGCAAGGAACCTCCATATTAGGGATAAAACATCGACAAGTTTCCAACTTGCCTGGTCGCGATTATCTGGGGATACAGGAAACTATGTAATAGAGTACGTGCCAGTGACAGATCTAGGGAAGAAGGTGCAGAAAACCTATGGAGATCTGACTAGTGTGGTGTTCAGCAGCCTGGCTCCAAGCACTACCTATGAGGTGACCTTCATCCCCGAATCCAGAGAGTCCACTACCCAATCACAGACTATGCTGGTCACCACACTCCCAGGTAAGCCTAATTTATCATTGTGTCTCAGGAATGAACTAGCTTTATTGCCAACATAGACAGTGACCTAGTGCCTGAAGGCTGCTTCGGGAGGGCTATAGCCACTCATATATCATGTCATTATTATTAATATGTTACCTTGTATAATAAAGTCAAAGAAACTGCACTTATGTAAAAAAAAACTAAATGTTCTCAAATAATTAACCAATTAGCAGCAGGCTCTACTATGAGATATTTTCACAGTTTAACATTCATTATAATACATCAAGTCACAGCGTAATGTGTTCAAAACAAGGATAAAGAACCTTTGTGATTAAAAAGTGCATAACCGACATACATAATATTAAATGTGCTTATTTAACATGTCAACCAAATAAAGATTGCCAAAAATATAAGCTCCACACATGTGAAATTCATTATTTGCAAATGTTCTTGAATCTGAGTAAAAAGTCCATCACCACTGAAGTCAAAAGGACAGTGATGTGAAGACCACCATCTCAGTAGTAAAAATACACGCTTACCAATTGCAATAGGTCTCAAAGGCTCGTAGATATCAACTCCAGTAGAGATCAACACACTGCTAGGAATATTCTCCAAGGGGAACCGGTATCTTTAAAATGACACTTCACATATCTCCATCTATTCCATGCTCACATATAAACATAAGGACTAAGCATTCCTATAGTGTAAAATCTTTTAACACCATTTATAAAAGCGATTCTAAACGTTCTTTTTTTTTCTTTCGGAAAACAGCAAATATGTCTATACTTACTTGCTGTGTGCAGTGGTTTTGCACAGTGCAGCCTGGATTTTCCTCTTCTCGGGTCCCCCTGTAGGCTCTCCTGGCTCCTCCTTTCTGTCAGGTGCCTCCACAGCAAGCAGCTTGCTATGGGGGGCACCTGCTGCTCCATGTGTCCATTCACACACGGAGCCTCGGCATGGTCCCACCCCCCTCTCTCTCCTCATTGGCTGACTGGCTGTGATTGACAGCAGCGGGAGCCAAGGGCCAATGACCTGGGACAGCCGAAGCTGTCATTCACAACGCTGGATTGCGATGAGGCTCAGGTAAGTATTGAGGGGGTATTTAGTATTATGTGGGGAGGATGCTGCACACAGGTTTTTTACCTTCATGCATAGAATGCATGAAGGTAAAAACCTTCAGCCTTTACAACCACTTTAAAGTATAAAATTGCACTCACAATGTCGAAACAGAAAATTGCGCAATGTAAAATCCTCTTACCCGGCAAAACTCACATATCCCCTGCACCTCCGGAAACGCAGGAAACAATGACGCAAGCACGCAGTTCCACCCTATGTGTTTCGTCATAAGTGGCGTTGTCCAAGGTGTGTCTCTACCTTTCAACTGCACAGATCATCAAACAAGAAAGATAATTTAATTATAGAGAGTCTCCTGACTCCTCTTAACATTCCCTGTACCACCTTTCCCTACAATTCTCATGCTACATTTAATCAAAGATCTCTAGAGGTGGACAGAGAGGGCAACAAAATAAGGAAAGCGTTATCACAAGTTAGCACTTGGTGCTGCCTCCCCTAACCCTGCTGCTCAAGGCTCTTAACGCCTAAATGCTTTGAGTAGATCTAAACTCTAAATGGAAGACATTTAATTTTTTTTACCTACAGTGTAGTTTAGTTATCAACAATCAGTGTGTTTTTGCTTTTCCTAAAATGCTGCTTTCCCCTTTTTTTAATAATTTTTTGCATGTCATTGCTATTGATCACCTACAGCCTTTTTTCATAACTTCCTATCTACATATACTGTACTTGCTCCTGTATCAAGTACACCAATCCTTGTCCTGGACTGGCTTCCTGATAGTGACAACAGTGGATCATGCCTACTCACAGAGGCTTGTAGTCTCTACCAAGGATGCATGTGAAAATGCAGGAACACAATTGGGAGAGCTGTCCCCCTATACCAGGGCTGCCTTCATGGCAGGATCAACAGGTATTCTTTGAATTAAAGAAGCAGATTAAAATTGATTGAAAACTATATAATTACTGATTTGAGTTTGGATCAACTTTTATAGCTGGCTGTGGAGCTGGGAATTTAGGTGCCAGAGTATTACCACCTTTAGAATGATCTAACAGGTCAGCCTGAATCCACCTAAAACTGAAATATTACTTTTGGGGAAACTTTTTTCAATAACTTCACTTTTGAGAAAAAAAATATAACAAATGAAAAAAAAAAAATAATATAGCATATACAGTTGCTACACACGCCACATTATAATTTAATATTTAAAAAAATGACCTGTCCTTTTCAATCTGGAGTGCTGTAATTTTCTGTAATTCAATGCAACATGGCCACCTTAAGGCGTTTTGGTGTATGCAGCGCCCCCAGAAATGTAATTTCTTGTTTGCGTGATTGACTCACTGATCTTCCTAGAAGTCTGCACTAACATACAAGTCAAATTTAGGCACCCCCTGCAATAAGATTTTTTTTTTTTTTTTTTTTGTAAGATACTCCCCAAGAGTTAAGTGATTCTACAAGTACACAGACCCTGCAGCTTTCCTCATTAGAACACTAAAAGTGTGATTTTAAAAGCGAAGTATGTTTTTTTTTTGTTTTTTAATTGATTATTCTCACCTATATGACTGCAGCACCAATCCCAGCTGCAGTTGTCCCCCCCCCCCCCGCTTTGATGTGACCGGTGTGACCGCCACCGGTCACATCAAAGCAAGTTTTTAAAACGTGCGACTTACAGTGAAGTTGCACGATTTCAAAATCAGGTGACCTGCCGATTTAATTGCGATTTGACACAGATGTCTATGAAAATCGCAACAAAAGTAGTGCATGCACTACTTTAGAAATTGGTGCGGCTCCAAGTCGGAACTGCACCGATATGACCGCTCTAATAGCGGACAATAGGGTGCGACTTGGCATACGATTTGCAAGTTGCATGGCATGCAAATTGCATGCCAAGTAGCACCTGATGTGACCAGGGTGTAAGACCGAGAACTAAGCGTTCAAAGACCACCGATCGCTCAGTTCTCAGTCTTCAGTCTGCAGAGAGTCGGTGACTGTCAGTCACCAGCTCTCTGCTCTGCCGCTCTAGCACCCACTAGAGCTCTGGGCTGTGGAGGGCGTGGGAGTGGCTGGCTCAGGTTCTTAGCAGTGCACTGTTGGGCTTGACACATGCTCTACTACATCATACCAACTAGCAGCTCCATTTATACAGAGCAGGAAAATGTCCAAGTGCGCTGTGGGAGCTCAGCTTTTTTTTTTAAATGCATTGTGGAACATTTTTGCATTATGGGATGTCATGAAAAGGTTTTTCATAGATTGAATTATTGTTTTTTCAAAGACTATAATAGGATTTGACCATTTTAGCTGCAAACTCTATTTTCTGATATAAGTCCTCCTTGCCTTCACAGAATTGATACAAAGGAGAAACCTTCACGCCTGGGACATATCAACATCAAGTTTTAGACTCACGTGGTCAAGACTGATCACAGACAAAGGCCGATATGTTCTGGAGTATGGTCTGGTATCGGATCCACAAAAGAAGCTGAGAAAGATGTTGACTGCTGATGAGACCACCATGCTGATTGGCAATCTAAACCCCAACACCAAATACCAGGCTACGCTGCATTCTGAAGCCAATGTTCAGTATGTCCCTCCACAGTCCATCCAGATTGCAACTCTTCCAGGTAATTTATCCCATGGTGAATATTGGACAAGCAGCCCTTAGATTTTGGGGGAATTCAGACAAATATCACAAGCATTTATCCAGGTTGCCCAAATCTTCCCCATACTTTTTGTAATACAGGGGTGCTCAGCCACATGTGACCCTCGGAGGCCTCTGATGTGGCCCTCAACCTCAAACCATGGTAGCACACTTCTATTGTATCCTGCAGGTTTGGTGCATTTTCTAAAATCACACCATAACTCCTGAATGCACGAGTTTTTGTGAGCTTTCAGAAAGTGCACCACACCCGCAAGATATAATAGAAGTTTATGGCAAAGTGCAGCTAACCTGCAGGAAAGCCCCAGGTGCACTGCACCAGCAGTGCAGGTAAACCGCAATGCATCAGTGTAAAGGCAACCTTATAGGGAGCTCAGGACAGTAACGACCTATTTACATTTGCAGTTTGGGGGCAGTAAATCCCCATAGTCGAGACGTGTTTGTAAACCCCCCCAACCACTGGTGTAGTGTCAGGGTTTGCCACATTGACCCCGCCCCATGCTCCATGCGGCTTCCCTGTCACATTCTGTTTTACACTTGGACAGTAGGGGCGGCAGGGGTGGCATATACAGGAACAGATCCTCTCCATTTTCCTCCTGCAGGGGGAAAATGTTTATTATGCTATTCAAAATAAAAAAAAATCTAAATTCTTAACCAGTTCATTTCATTGTGGCCCTTGACCTGATACCAAATCACCTAAGTGGCCCTCACTCCTCAAAAGGTTAAGCACCCCTGCTTTAGGACAATGACTTCCTATTATCATCAGCTCCATCTAGTGGCAAAAATGCATTATATGTTCTGACTGAGGTATTTGAGAAAAATATTCTATATTTTGGCCACTAGATGGAGCTGACAATCAAAAGAGGTCACAGTATTATAGAAACTGTGGGAAAATGCAGCCTGGACAAATGCTTCATCCAACAAATGTTTTATAAATAGACCCCCTAGTGTCACCTGCCAGATACATCATCATGCTCTGAATACTCTGTCAAGGTGGACAGGGAGCACAGGACACTTCCAGTGGGGGACAGTAAATATAAAGAAACCTCTTCAGTCCTGTTCAATGAAGAATTACAACATCTAAAAGCAGTTTTAACATTAAAGCTGAATGCAAGACTGAAATAAAAAAAAAAAAAACAAAAAACATAAATTAATGCAGCTTTGCAACCATTATTACATCATTAAATGTATTTTTTTAATGCAAGTAGTAGTGTACATACCTGAATTTTATGTGGTATCTGCCTCTTGCAGTAAAGATTCTAAAATAACTCTGTGCACACTGCTATACATCTTTACATATTCATAGCAAACATTGCATTAAAACAGGGATTCTTGGTTGGAATATAGCGCACTGTTCAAGTTGGCCAGCTGCATCAAAGTGATTCCTTTCTGGCCAGTCCCTACTCTGATGTGTAAAATTAAAAATACTTGCTCAAAGCAATATACGTAAACCATGTTTGCTACATACACTTCAGTGTGTATAGCAATGTGCATTGTGTTCTTTCAGAATCCATAGTATTAACATGTGATCAAACCCCTGTACCACCTGTACAACAGGGCTGGAGTGTGATAGAAAGAAACAGCACAAGGAGCTAATTGCTTGACATTCTGACAAGGAGCATGCTGATAGGAGGAGACACAGAGTGATAGAGAGACATGAGATCATCAGTGCACTACTTCTCCTGTCACTGTCCAGTGACAAGCTGGGGCAGCTCCCAAACATCCTGGGCTCAGAGGAAGTGGGTGAAATTATACTGGCCATCAGACAGAGGACATCTAGTGGCAGAATAAGTACTGCAGGTGGAATCTCTGGATCTTATATAGTTTTTTTGGGCTGGGGATCTGCTTTAAAGTGTACCTAAATCCAAAGCTTTATCCATTTTAGAGAGAGTGGGGAGTGTCCGTTTTTGATTTTATGTTTGGGAAATGCCCTCTTAGACAGTTTTACCTGAAAGATGTGTCCCCATTGTAAGATTCCCATCTGTTTTTGCTCTGATGACAACTGAAAATATTAGATTTTCCTACTACTTTTCATTTCCAGTGGCAGTGGTCACCAGAACAAAGAGAGGGTGAATCTCCTGACTGGGGACACAGGCAGCATTTAAAACCTCATACAATGTAAGGAAATCTGGTGCTCAGCAGGGGAAACAGAGAGTCCACAATGATATATGATAGAGACGAGAGTTTTTATGGGTATTCCAGGGCTACAATCCAGAGGCTGCTGCTGTATAGAGTTAGAAGAGACTCCGCAAACAAGCATAAGGAGAGAAGCAGCGCCAATCTAAGTGTAGCACGATGGATTTATTTCTGACAAGCAACAAAATGCACACTTACAAAATAAGAAGTAAAAACAGGCGCTCATCAAAGAAAGCCGCTATCTGCTGTAGGTATCGCCGGCCATGGCCGCTGCATGCTGGGAGAAACACACTTAGAAGAAGGATCCTCCATGGTGCTGGTGGCTTCCAGCATTTCCTGGATGATTCAGAGGCCTGATGAAGAAGCAAGCATGCTCCGAACGCGTGCCAAGCCCACTGCTACATACCTGACGTGCTGACGCCCAGGAAGTGTTGGAAAAGCCACCGGCACCACTGAGGATCCTTCTACCAGTGTGTCTCCCAGCGTGCAGCGACCATGCCCGGCGATACCTACAGCAGATAGCGGCTTTCTTTGATGAGCATCTGTTTTTACTTCTTATTTTGTAAGTGTGCATTTTGTTGCTTGTCAGAAATAGATCCACTGTGCTTCACTCAGATTGGTGCTGCTCTTCTCCTTATGAGCATTTAAAACCTCACAGGGGTTTAAAACCCCTGTGCATGGCATTTGAGGGGTGTTTTTAACGCTCCTCAAACGCTTATACAAATGATACTAAAACCAGCACACAGTGCGGTTCACATTATCAAAACATAAAGTTGAAGCTTCATGTCAAGTCTGATGTAGTTTGAAGCCTTTCAACACCTCCCATTTAAGTCTATTGTGATGCTCTGCAAACGCGTTGGCAGGCATTTGCGTGGCGTTTTTAGTGCAGTTGTGGCACATTAATAACATTTAATAACAGTTTAATATATGCATTTGTGGTGCAGTTTTAATGCTTGTAAAATGCCTATAAAACATGTCAAAACCATGCAAATGCCTGATGAAGGGGTCCTGCGAGACTCAGAAACATTGCCTTGCTGTAACTATGTGATTGTTCATTAAAATGTTTGGACTCATATTGGTGATCCTCGGTGTGCTGGTGACATTCTCCTTAGCTGATTCTGTTCGGTTCCAGCCGACAGTCGCTGAAGCACCCACTTATACACACAGCCATTTTTAAACGCAGGAACGTGTGCGTTTGGATTGTACACTTGAAAACCATGCACAGGGCGTTTGGGGAGCAGTTTTTACGCTTGTAAAATGCCAGTCTAACGCCCGTACTAAAGCTCATTAATGCCAGTCTAACGCCCGTACTAAAGCTCATTAATGCCAGTCTAACGCCCGTACTAAAGCTCATTAATGCCAGTCTAACATTCGTACTAAAGCTCATTAATGCCAGTCTAACCTTCATACTAAAGCTCATTAATGCCAGTCTAACCTTCGTACTAAAGCTCATTAATGCCTGTCTAATGCCTGTACTAAAGCTCATTAATGCCTGTCTAACCTTCATACTAAAGCTCATTAATGCCTGTCTAATGTTCATACTAAAGCTCATTAATGCCAGTCTAACACCCATACTAAAGCTCATTAATGCCAGTCTAACACCCATACTAAAGCTCATTAATGCCAGTCTAACACCCGTGCTAAAGCTCATTAATGCCTGTCTAACGCCCTTGCTAAAGCTCATTAATGCCTAACGCCCGTACTAAAGCTTATTAATGCCAATCTAACGCCCATACTAAAGCTCATTAATGCCTGTCTAACGCCTGTACTAAAGCTCATTAATGCCTATCTAACTCCCCCCTACTAAAGCTCATTAATGCCTATCTAACTCCCCCCTACTAAAGCTCATTAATGCCTATCTAACTCCCCCCTACTAAAGCTCATTAATGCCTAATGCCCATACTAAAGCTCATTAATGCCAGTCTAACGCCCGTACTAACACCATAGGAGCGTTTGTTAAGAGTTAGAAATTTAGTCAAGTGTGAACAAGCCCTCAGGTAGTTTTTTTTATAACAGAAGGGATCTTAGAGGTCTTTTCTGTCATAAATTTCTCTCCCCCAGTCAGTGGTAATGTGATCAGAGACACACATGCGCAGCTAAGACCACATTTATGGCACCTGGTCTGTGCTGTGGTGATGTGACTTCTTTCGCACTCCAGTGATGTCATTGGGGCTCAGCCATTCAAGCAGCTGAGGAGAAGGAAGGAAGAGTGGGTGAGAATGGAAGTGCTGGGACCAATGGGAACAGTGACAGTGCAGCACTGACGGGCTCGTTTTACATGTGAGTCTGTCATTATTGTTTTAATATGTGGTGCATTCAAGCACATTATGGCATAAAACCTGCAAGGGGGCACATTTTTAAAAATGTTCTGATGGACTTTAATACTGATTTAACTCCACACCACTCTATCCAAATTTAACAAAACAAATTGCCTTTAGATGCACTGTACATTATGGGTTGTGCTCAGGTGCTTGGAGTAAATTAGCACAATGTGAAATATCTAGTACCCTGGACAGGTGCTGATAATCTGCTATTACTTCCTTTGCAGAACAACTTGGGCCAGCTCAGATTTTGATATCTGACCCCACGGCACACAGTTTCCGAGTAAGCTGGGGCCCTCATCTGGAAAGTGTCATTGGCTATGAAATTCAGTATGGACCACTACCTAGCAATTCTGTGCAGAAAGTCCAGGTGGACGGCCGATTCAACACTACCGTTTTAGAAGGCTTAAAATCAAATACAACGTACTTGGTCACAGTGTCTGCCATATTTAAATCTGGAGGGGAGAAGGCTTTGTCTGCCATAGCATGCACTGAGATCAGTGAGTATCTAGAAACAAAATGATCTGTAATAGAAATGAAAAATTTGTGCTTGGACCAAAGTCGTGTAATTCAAAAATATCAGGCTAAAGCTCTCCAGGCTCCCTAATGTCCACTTTTTGTGATTGCAGTATATGTACACACACTGGCGTTTCTTATCTTAAAGGGGCACTATCACCTTGCACATTCAGGGCAAATTAAGAGTGTCTGTGTAAAATTGACCCCCCAACCACTTTATACTCCCCTCTCCAGTGCTTTCCTTGCACTATGATAGACATTGCAAAGCACTTGGAACTTCCTGGTATAGGGGAACATGTGACCTCCCCCAATGATGAAGTGCTCAGACCTAGTGACCAATCACTAGGCCTGAGCACTGTCACATGATGGGAAAGGTCATTGCTACTCCTGAGCTCTGAAACTAGCCAGCACTGAGTGTTTTGGTGGCATCTGAGACAAAGGCAGGAGTGGCATGGGAACACCGGAGATAAGTACAAGATAGTAGTAGGGTCAAATATACATAAACTCTGTCATTTTGTCCTGAATTCCAGATCAGTGTCCCAAAAATACCACTAGATCATCATGAAAACAAAGCAGCTAGCATTTTAAGAAGAGGAAATTAGCAATGGCAGCCTACATTTTTTTTTCATTCAGTACATCACATTGGCAAGCATGTAGGCTTTATTCATGCAGGTATACCCATACACCTATACAAGGGCTGTGTTTGCCCACATGGGGATACATAGGTGTGCTTCCACATGCAGGCAGTCTCAATTATGTCAATTAGGATGCAGAAGCTGCACAGACCAACTGCTGCTCCCAATTTCACATCTGTGTGGGTGAGGGTACATTCCTCAAATGCACCCTGTCTGCGTTCAGGGAACTGACCTGGAACAAGCATGAGCTATATTGTTATGGTGTCAGCAGCATTGTGGAATGACTGCTCCTGGCAAATGTTACAAAATTTGTCTCATTTAGTTTTCCTTTTCTAGACTCACTTGTAACATGTTCTTCCCATACAGATGGCACTAAAGTGAAGTACCTACGCATTGAGGACCTACAGTCCAACAGCCTAAAGGCTGTCTGGGGCTCTGCAGATGGAGATGTACAGGGTTATCAGATAAGGTGTCGGAGACATGCCAGACGCTTGTCTACAATTAATGTGGCTCCAGAGGCTCACAGTGTACAGCTAACAGGCCTGCCTGAAGGTACCACCACAAAGATCTGTGTTAAGCCAGTGTATAAGAACGGTGCTGGAAAAAACCTGTGCAAGAAGGTGAAAATGCATCCAGGTAAGTGAAAGAACGGGCTGCTATTCCAAAGAGACATGGAAATACACAATATGGCTAAATGTACTATACATGGCTACCCCTCCAAATTATTGATTTCATGTGTTTCCATTGAAGGGTACCATTAAAGGATAAGTTCACCTTTTACCAAAAATAATAAATGCACGTTTTTTTCAGGTACATTTTTGTTGAAGGAGCCTGGAAACCATTGCACCAGCAATCAGCAGATCACTGGTGCCATTCAGGTCTCCTGCAGATCTGTCAGTATATCTGTTTGCCCATATGGGATGTACAAGCAAGCAGATATACTTACAGGAAGAATTATGGAACTACCACGGAGCTCCACAGGGTCGTGGTACTTTATTGAGAACTACAAGCCAACAACCACTAAGGCTGTCGGAGTTGAAGTTTCTCATTCACAGAGGACTGTGAAAGAGTGGCGCTGCTGGGCGGAGCCCAGCATGGCCACGCTTTTTTTTTTATTTGACAGCTAGCAGGGGGAGAGAAGATCCCCCACTAGCTGTCAAAGCTGGGGAGTGGTGCGGTCATAACATGTTACATTTTAATAAAAGATAGTGATATGATTAAAGTACAATCCAACGTGAAAAATAAATACTGTGTTATGATGAAAAATAGATAAAGTCCAGGTTATACCCACATCCTTATGATATTTTTTGAAAGTTCAAAGTTAGATGAAGTCACCGTGATGATTCCAACCAGTTGAAAGTGATACCTTTCAATATTCATACAGTGGTCCACCACAATGACACACCATGCATGCTTACCAGAGCAAGTGGACCCACATACTATAAGTATGGAGTCAAACACGCATTTATAATTCCAAGGCCACCGATCACCAAACCGAACCCAGCTAGATGGACATCCACTGTTTTTCTCCTCCTTAAGCTGAAAACCATACAGACTCCGTTAGCGATCATATATCGTTCTCAGATGACCATAGCATATGTGAAAACACCAAAACACATTGTGAAACACTAAAACACATCCACATAGTGTAAGACCATTAAAAATATACCTTTATTAAAAAAGTAGTGCTCTTACAAAATCGCATCGGGTGAAAAGCTTCACATAATTATCCGTCCCGGGGAACATACAACACTCTTCCTGGATCCAAGAACACGATGATGTCACCGACTCGGGCTCCATCTGATGCGTTTCTTCATAATTGACATTGTCTGGGGCTTGTTACATGTTACACCCTGAATATGGGTGTAACATGTTATGAAAGGTGAACTTATCCTTTAATGCTACAGCAAACCGTTTTAGACAACTGTGTGCTTTCAGCCTTGTGGCAGGTTGGTGAAGGCCCTTTTCTGTTCCAGCATGACTGTGACCCTGTGTGCAAAACAAGCTCCATAAAGACATAGTTTGATGAGTTTAGTGTGGAGGAACTCAAGTGTCTTGCACAGAGCACTGATACCTTATTGACATACTTTGATACTTTGGTTGTGAGTCAGGTCTTCTTGTTCAGCATCAGTATATGACCTTAGATATTGACAAATTGGGTGAATGAACAAAACTTCCCACAGACACACTGTGAAAAGTCTTCCCAAGAAAGTAGAGGTTGTAATAGCCACAAAGAGGGGTAGACTCAATATTATTGCCCATGGTTTTGGAAATATTGCCATATATAGTACCTTTAGGATTTTTTTTAACATTGAAGGAACAGATTCAAGGGAAAAACAAAGCAGGGGATGGAAAAGGGCACCATTTTGTAGTGATACAACAAATTAAACATGTCAGGAAATAAAAAACACTATCCCACCCGTAGAGCCCCAGAAGGCCCTTCAGCACAGCATTTCTCAAATTTCTTTTCAGTTTCAGCACCCTTTAAAAGTATGCAAATCTTGAGGCACCCCAGTCTAAAGTGTAAATGTTGCTTATCAATGGGAAACCTGACCCTAGGGCAATGCACACAATGAATAAAACGTCACATAAAAGCCCCTCCCCCTTTAAATTAGAAGAATTACATCAGAGGCCCCTTGTCACATCAGAGGCCCCCCTATATATGAGAGCTCCCCATCATATCAGATACACCCCTATACATCAGAGACCCCCTATACATGAGTCTTCCACAAAGTCCCCTCTTCACATCAGAGACCTACCTTTTGGTTTCAGCAGCGTCGCACAGGGAGGGAGGTGGAGGAGGTCTGCAGGAGGTCTTCTCTTGAATGCTGAGGGTAGTCCTGCATGTTGCCTTCCCTGGATCAGATCCATGTGTTACATGGTGCAAGCAAGCCAGCTACAATTCCCACAGCAATTATTGACAGGGATAGGGATAGGGGTCCTGGCCCTAGAGCATCATTGTTACTTACTTTGCCGATGGCTGGCCCACCTGCACCATAGCAACTCATGGCTCTGAACCAGAACAAGCTGGGTCCTGCGCTTGCTGCACCCTGGGAAAGCTAGACAGCCCCCAGGGAAAGTTGAGAAACTCTGATCCAGCAAATACTGATAACACCCAAATTGTCTGTACCTGCACACTAACACCCTGCCATCCATGCAACAGTTCTAAGGTCCAATAATTGGTTGCACAGATGCCGAGATCTGCACTGCGGTACGTGTAAGCACTGAATGTTCACTTATTATACTCTGACAGGGTTTCTTGGACCAATTTTAAATTTCACATGAATCTGTAAAGTATGTGTCACTGATATCAAATCACATTTGTATTCATATTGAAGGGGGGTTAGTTAAAGTGGAACTTCAGTCAGAAAATTAAGTCCTGCTAGATCACTTCAGGCTGACTGCCTTTGCAGGTATATAGCTATAGAAACTGTTACAAATAAGTGCCAATATTGTTTAATCACTTCCATACCGGGCACTTTTACCCCCTTCCTGCCCAGGCCAATTTTCATGTTTCAGCGCTGTCACACTTTGAATGACAATTGCGCGGTCATACAACACTGTACCCAAACTAAAATGCTATCATTTTCTTCACACAACTAGAGCTTTCTTTTGGTGGTATTTAATTACCACTGGGGTTTTTATTTTTTGCTAAATTAACAAAAAAAGACTGAACATTTTGAAAAAAACCCACGTTTCTCTTTATTTCTGTTATAAAAGTTTGCAAATAAATAATTGTTCATAAATTTAGGCCAAAATGTATTCTGCTACATTTCTTTGGTGAAAATAACCCAATTTAGTATTTATTATTTAGTCTGTAGGAAAGTTATAGAGTTCACAAACTATGGAATAGATCTGAAAATTGATCAATCCTGAAGTACTGACGGCCAATCTAATTTCTTGAGGTCCAAGAATGTCAGAACAGTACAGATATCCCCCAAATGACCCCTTTTTGCAAAGTAGACAGTCCGACGTATTTCATACGAGGCATGGTGAGTTTTTGAAGTTGTCATTTTTTTGTCATAATTTTTCAGAAAATTAAGAGATTAAAAAAATTATTTTCACTATTTTCTTTTTTACATACTGTCACCAGTGCAGTACAGCATCATCATATAACTGGCATGGCAGTGATCAGGGACACTGACTGGTGACAGTACAAAAAAAAATTATAATTTTTTAAAATTTGTTTTTTAATTTTTAATTACATTTTTTTCTCTTTTTTTAAGATTTATTTTCATATTTCACTATGACTAAAGTAGTATAATGTTGCCATAGTAACATTGTACTACTTTGGGGAAGTGATCAGTATTTTTTTTTTTTTTTACACAATTTGCTTATAGCAAAGAATTACTTTGCTATAAGCAAGCATTTACCTGAATGAAATCGATTCATTCAGGGTTTTTATTTTGTGATTAGCTGTAATTTGGCCACGGCTAATCACATGACACAGCTGGGCTGTGATTGGCCCAGCTTGTACATGTGATCGCTGTGACCATTCACAGCTAGACACACTTGAATACAATGGATGGCATGAAAGGAAGCCATCCATTGTATACAATTGTCATGTGACCTGCTGTGATTGGTCACAGCAGTTCACATAGTACTGGCAACGGGGTCAGTACACAGATCTGCCATCGGCCATGTCCGAGGTACACGGCCGGTGACAGATGTCGCCACAGCGTGGTCCTGCGGGCATGCGCACTGCGTGTTCTGGAAAGGACGCAATATGGTGTCCACCTGGAAGGACGAGCTATTCGCCCGTCTGCCATCTGGCTATAGGCTGGGCGGCAACTGGTTAAAATCCAATAATACACTGTTTTACCCTGCTCTGCACATGCTCAGTTGCTGTCTATTTTTAGGCATTTTTAGGCACTGATAATAACTGCCCATAATAATAGTAATTCACAAGGAGTTTCATCTGATCATGGTAGCAATAGAAAACACAAAAAATAAATGTTGGTCAAAAAAAAATCAAACGTTGCCCAACTGTCAAAATTAGATACCTCTCTTTTCCCCCTGAAATGCATTTGGTTGTCTTTTCTTATCTCTGAAGCAAAAGTTGGATAATACGAGCAGATGAAGCCAGCTTAGAAGGTGTTCAATCTTCATGCAGCCCTCAACATGAAATGATGGATTCACTTCCTAGATAGAATAATGACTAGATAAGGGGAAAGGATGGGGGTAATTGCATTCAGCGCTCAGTGTGATTATGGATCAAGAAATATCCTTGACAAATGCAGCAGGTTCATGCCATGAAATTGTTTCTTAGCTTTTAGCTAAATAGATTTCTGCCGCTTTTTACAGCTGGGATAGTATAACTAGATTCTGAGAACCATATCACCTGTTTATAAATTAAAATTAAATATATAGTAAACCACATTGGATTACCCTATGCTAGCTTTGTTCTAAAACCACGGTTGCAGGATTTATGTAAAGTATTATACAGAAATTTTGAACAGCTGAATATCTTTTCAGACACTTGGTATAAATCCAATGGTGGCAGTCAAAGTGCAACTGTGGGCAAAATAGAAAGTGAAAAGTATCAAGCAAACAAGTAGAGCCCAAGTATAGTGTATATAAAGAGATATATTAGGTAAAAAAGACATTGCTCTGATCAAGAGGATATGCCCTTGAAACATGTAAGTCATCGTGCACGCTTGAAATGACGCCTACGTCTGCTGTGGGAGTCGACAGTTTGAACCTATTGGTTGGAAGGATCTTCAAGGTTATGGATTTATGTTATATGCACTTAAATCAAGCACCATTGTGAGTACATTATATTCATTTTAATAACATATATCAAGGGAATGACTAGGAGGTTAGAGGCTGAGCCAGGCTTGCAATTGGGTCTTGGCTAAATGCAAGATTTAGCACAATTTAATTTAGGAGTGAGCAAGTCCCCATTAGGCATTAGTCAATCTTTGGGCATTAGCACTCATGTCAGTTCCAGCATGTACCGTACTTCCTGGCTATAGAGGGATAATCCTAATACCGAATTAGCCCTGTAAGCTTTTGGGGGGATTTAGCATAACATAGCCACATCTTTTTGCCTCAACACCTTTTTTTACATCAAAATGTCAACCTAAGATGTCATGTCAGGAAGCAACTACAATAGTTATTTATTACAAATGTAAATATAGAATATATTAGAAATTAAAGGTAAACTTAAAGCGGAACTTCACCCAAAATATCTACTTGTTTGCATCCTCCCCTCCACAGAAACATTTGGCATTTTTTGGGGGGGAGTGGGTACCTAGTTTTGACAGGTACCTGCCCCCACTAGCAGTCCTATTGTGGCAACGTTTGGCCCTCCTCCTCCTTCCTCTTGCAGCCTTCTGGGACACATCACAAGTCCCAGAAGACAGCGGGACCATTCACAAAACCCAGTATGGCTCATGCATGCACAACAGGAAACCAGCTGTGAAGCCATAAGGCTTCACTGCCAGTTTCCCTTATCAAAGATGCCGGTTCCTTCACCCAAAGCCCATTGAAGAAGCAGCTTGGGTGAGGACATCACTGGGTCTCTAGACAGGTAAGTGTCCTTATATTAAAAGTCAGCAGCTACGGTATTTATATTTGCTGACTTTTAATTTTTTTTGGGGGGGTGGAGCCTGGAGCTCCTCTTTAAGCAATCCAAAAGTGTTGGTATTTTTTCTTTATAAAGCAAAAAAAAAAAAAAAAAAAAACACAGTGGCTATCAAATAACACTAAAAGAAAGCTCTATCTGTATAAACAGTTTTTATATACCATTTATTTGGGTACGCTATTGCATGAGTAATTATCAGTCAAACTATCACAGCACTAAAAACTGAAATATGGCCTGCAAACAAAGGGGGTTTTACATGCTGGTATTGAGTTGGTTAAAAAAGCACAAATATCTGTGTCCATGCATTTTACATCAGGTATAGATTCAGCCTAAAACAATTTTAAAAATGTGGTATACATTTCTGTCTCCCTAGGAACGACTGCAAACAGTTATTCAAGTCTTCAGATGCAGTTTAATGGAACAAAACTTGTGGTCCAATGAGCATGGAAATCATCAAAGCATAAGGAAGCCTACTGTATGTTTACAAATTGGACCTTGACATTGAAGAGGAAGAGTGGATGAGCTTAAGCATTTTTTTGTACACGGGATGATTTGACTTTCATCCCAAGTGGTCAATGATATATCATGTGACCACCCTAAACCCGGGCTTTTTATTCATAACCACTTTGAAAACGGTTTCTAACACAATCATTTAATCTTCATAGAACATCCAGGAAAGGGAATGTGTTAGACTGAGTGAAGACTTTTAAAAGGGGGATAAAATGGACTTGGGCTTGAAAATGGGTGAAATATGGCTGATAACATTGTGCCTCTTCAGCAAGCAACCATGATTAATGTTATTTTTTTAATGTAAATATCAGCGAATAGGGAGACAATCTGTTACGAAAATGGTATCTCCTCTGCACAGGGAATTGCTAACAAGGTTGGAAGAAAAGACTGTGCTTGCAGAATGTGCAGGAACAACTTCACAGGATGCATATATTATACTTTATTTAATGAGTGAAAAGTGCAGCGGTGTAGTAACCAGTGGTCAATCAAAAGCCAGCTTCCAGCAGCTCAAGGTGGATCTGGTTATCAACAACTGTTTGTGATTGGTTGCTGTAGGTTAGTGCAGTGTGATCATTGCTTTTGGCTAATTAAGTTACCTTGACATTTATTATTAGAAAACTTGAAGTAATATATGAAAGTTTATCTCCAGTGAGAGTACATGAAATCTCTTCCACTGTCTTTCCTCTACACTGTTTATATTTTATTCTTTAACAAAATCTACCTAAAAGCCCCAATTATGAACCAAAAACTCTGGTCATATAACAGGCCGCATCCCACGCCTTCTTTTTTTTCTGCGCTGTAGTGTGGGAGGGTCCAGTCTGCAGTTCCCAGAGTTCATTCCTGGTGACATGGGTGCTGCTCAAGTGAACAAGCATCCATCACTAGGGCCTCGCAGGATTCCAAAGCATTCCAGCTTGATGTTATGATGAATGGTGGACAGTAGACCAGTTGGCTTAGCAGTGGAGAAAGAAGACCGCTTTCAGTCTATTGGTCACCTTGAACAAAAGAGGCTCCTGGGAATCAGAGCGAAGTTACTTAGCAAAAGCGATTGCATAACAGGCCAGGTCCCAGATCTTTATTTACCTGTTTCTTGGTGTGGGAGGGTCATGTCTACAGTGCCCATGTCTCTTCCTGGTGACATGGGCACTGCCCATTGGCTACCACAAGTGTCCATTACTTGGTTCTTTCAGGATTCTGAAGCATTCCAGACTGATGCTATGATGAGTGGTGAACAGTAGACCAGTTGGCTTTACAGTGGAGAGTAAAGACAACTTCTAATTAGTGGTTGCCACCAACAGAGGGGGCTCCTGGAGGATCACGTACCAGTGGATTCATGAAAGTTTTTCTGGGTTATTGGGGCATTTGCAAAAACCAGATGCAACTCATAATTTTCAGAATGGGGTAGGAACAAGGTGTTATACAATGAGGGCAAAGTGCAATGGTGTAAAAGCCCATGGGATCCAGTCAGTATTCATCCTTTAGCAGCTTGCAGTGGATCAAGTTAAAGTGGCTGTAAAGACTGAAGGTTTTTTACCTTAATGCATTCTCCGCAAAAAACCTTCTACTGTTAACCCATCCCCCTAAATCCTTACCTGACCCTGATCCCAATCCAGCGCTGTGCCCAAGAGCAGTGGTGCTCCTGCTGCGGTCAATCAAATCAAGTGACAAGGGGGGCGGGGTCTATAGATGCACACAGTGCAGTTTGGGATTGAGCCTGCACATGTGCCACCATCGGAAACGGCTATGGTGGCACACAGGGTAGAAGAAGTGGCCCTGAGAAGAGTAGAATCAAGGCTGTTGTGTGTAAAACCATTACACTGAGCAGGTAAGTATAACATGTTTGTTATTTAAAAAAAAAATACTTTACAATCACTTTAACAAAAACGGTTTTTGATTGGTTGCTATATTATATTATGATATTGTGTTTTTATTGACCTTCATGTTTCAAAAAACGTGAAGTTTACCCTGTAATTGGTGAAAACGTCTTCCTTGGCCTGAGATGCTTAAATAAAACCAAAGGCAGAATTCATGTATATGTAACATCTGCAATCATTCCTGATATTTTTTTTTTAATAAAGCCCATAGGAATATGAACCAACCTATAGCAATTATAAAACACTCAACAGTCTCCTTTACCAAAACTCCCATACTTGCGCAACATATTAGTTTCTCATAGAAGTTTTTCTCTGCTATTAAATGGATATGGCTTCGTTATGAAAATAGATTACGAGTTTGCTAATGACAATTACATACATTTTCTTGTTAACGGAACAAATCCCTTCCTACAGCGCTCATTTTGGAGACAGTTGTGACTTTTGACCCATAGAGAAAAGGCTGAGTGAAGTGGTATGGTGTTGGCTGAAAATTGGCACATTTTTTTGGGAGGAGTTTTGAAATTTGGAGGCTTATTCATTCACAAATTTTTTAGATGTTAGAAGCTATATGGATTTCTCAACAAGCATTTGTTTTACTAAATAAAAATCCACCTAAATACTGGAGCTAGTGGAGCTCTGTCCAAATCTTGATAATTTAGCTGAACAGAAGTAAAATTACTATTTTAAAGCTGAACTCTAGACAAACCTACATTGGCTACATATAGTGCAGCTTTTTAACCTGTCAAAGGATTTGTATTTCTGTCCATTCAGTCCAGAGAGTTACACAGCTCTGTAACATTGCACAGTCTTGTCTGGCAGGTAGAAGACCTAATTATTCTCTCCTGTAGTTATGTGACACTTGTAGGTCTTATCCTTCCCCAGAAAGAGAAGCAGACGGATGAGCCTATCTCTCTCATTCTACTCTCTCCTCCTTTTAGAATATTGCTTGTACTGCAATGCAGCTGGCCAACTCCTTGTGCTGTTTCTCCCTCTCTGTATAGGGACTGCAAGAGGCTAATACCAGGTCAGATTTAGTTACACACACCACTTGCCATTCTTAGGCCATATATACACAGCCTCAGGATCAAGTGGTTATACCAGGATCATGATCCAGGTATCACATTTTTCAGCCTTCAATTGGCTTTCAGGGAAAAGTGATCTGAGTGGCTATACAGCTGCCCAATCACTTCTAAGCACTTGGAAATCCCCCCCCCCCCCGATGTTCCTAGGTTCTCCTGTCCCACTGGTAAGCCTTGGACCGCTGTAAGTGGATAGGCCACATGAGCACAGAGAAAGGGGAGGAGCATCTGTTCCCCCTCCTCTGTGACAAATGAAGCCGAAAGCAACAGGATTTGGTCATGTCCAATTTCGGTTCTTTGTTTACATGGCCAGTACCTGCCAGGAAGGCACCCAATCAAATTGATCTGTGTTTGAATGGTTGCTTCGGAGGACAGAGGAGGGATCCCCTGATCTCTCAAAGAGTACCTGTCATTACTGAAGCTATCACAAGAGATGCTGCTCATCCCTTGTGATAGTAATAAAGTTGAATAATAAATGAAGTGTAAAAAAATACATTTAAATAAAATTAATAATAAAATGTAAAGCACCCTGTCTCCCCATGCTCTTGCACTAATGCAAATGCTTACATAGGTCCCACATGCATATGTAAACAGCGATTGCACTACATATGTGAAGTATTGCCACCTACATCAGAGTGGGAGCAATCATTCTAGCACCAAGAGCTCATGTTTACCTCTAAAATAGTAACTTGTAAGGCACTGGTACTAAACCTTTCAGAGGTTGAGATCTATGCAGACAACATGGAGGAAATTAAAGAACCAGAGGGGGTGGAGGTATCTGAGTGGCGACCCTTCAAAAAAAAAAAAATAAATAAAAGAAATACAATATATATATATCAAGCTCCCAATAAAAAGACAGCATGAAGAACACATTTGTGTAACATAGTGGTGTCCTCTGCCCCCTTTCACATCACATCCTTTCCCCACTGTAGGGTCCTCTGCCTCCCCCCCCCCCCTTCCCCATAGCAGTTTCCTCTGCCTTCCTAAAGCAGTGCCCTCGATCCCCTTCTCATCACTTCACATCATTTTATTTCTTGACAAGTTTTGTATCTGTTTACTTGGCGCAATATCATCTTTTATATTTTAACAAAAAAGTGGGTATTATATTGTGTTTGTGTGCACTAAAAATTTCATTTAACTGTATTTTTTCCTGAAATTGTGTTTGATAAACATCCGCGCAAATATTGTGCAATATAAAGAAATTGCAACAACCACAGTTTTATTTTCCAGGGCCTCTGCTTTTAGAAAATATATAATGTTTGGGGGTTCTAAGTAATTTTATAGAAAGCTGTATTAATGTATAACTTTTATATCTGCCTGTGTCCATGTTAGGCAAAATTCTCCTCACTTCCTATCTTTCTTTGCACCTTCTGACTTGCATTTGTTTACCAAGTCTTACTTGTACTAGTTACAGTACAGTGAATCCAAACCTTTTTAAAGAGCATGTAAAGTATAGAGTATGTAGAGTATAGAGTATGTTTTTGATAAAGTAGGGAATGGTGAGTTTATTTTGTGCTTTGTCCCATTGGGTAGATTTACCCTCATTTCTTGCCCCAGAGACACAGCAGGATATACAGCAAGAGGAAATCTCTCCAAACTGTGGGGTAATCCCAACTTAACCAGGTTTACCCAATGGAAGACTTGGACTCCTTTCAACCGAGCAATCGGATCAGGTCTGCTGTCAGTTTTTCGGGTGGACCTGATTGGATGGTCCATGTATCTCTATGGACCAGCTGGTTTAAACAGACTTGTGTCCGTTTACATCTGCCTACCTCCAGTTTAATTCAGTTTGCTAAAAAAAAAAAAAAAAAAAAGCGGAAAGGGGATCCTTTCCCTCCGTCTAGGTGGATCGGATCAGAGGGCAGTTGGGTGTAAACGCACAGCCAGTCCATGTATACCCAACTGCCCATAGAGTACTGTAGAGTGTGTCGTGTACATGTTCACTCTGCATAAACTGAGCAGAGAGGGACCTGTCATC